CCAGGGCAGTGACGTAAGTGGACCGATGTGGACTGGCTATCTCTGGAGAACCTCCAACTGATGGCTATGGCTTTGCAGTGATTGATCTCCCATGCGCTCCAGCCTTTGGGCGTTTTCCAGACAGTGGCAGTATCTCCATGACCATGGCGTAGGACTCGAGAAACTCTCTGAAGAACAATACTGGAGTCAGTCAGCACATAGAATACGCGATTCGTCGAATAAGGAAAATCTTTAGCGCGAGTGATAAGAGCAGTCAACGCATATTCTAGGGCTAGTGTTTCCTTACGAACTATGGAGTATGGCATCGCAGGCAAAGGAACTAGCTTACTGCTGGCGGTGAAAATTCCGCGTGAACTAGCATTGCATATCACATATCCTAAGCCAAACGAACTAGCATCAGCATACAGCACTACTGTGTGAGAGAGGTCGACGAATCTACTGATGGGAGTGCTATCAATTAACCTGTTGAACTGCTGGATGGCCTTGATCGTCTCCTTCGACTGTTGAGCTGTAACTGGATCATCATACTGGAGTCGTTTGGTGTAGCACTCTCGTAGTATCAGCTTGATTGGCAGTAGGCACCATGTGAGAATACCAATAACATCGTAAGCTTGATGAAGTAGAGACAGGACATTACGAACCGTCAGTCGCATAGGATCAGTCGCCTCCTTTGACAGCACGGGGACGTTCACCTTCTTGGGCTTTAGTTGATCTCCATCCAGTGCACTCGTCCATATCAGTCCAAAGCCTTCAGCACTCGTATCATCATCACTTCTTTTCTCCTTGACCTCGTTGAAGGTGTGGCCGATCCTAGCAGCGCAGGTCTTCTCGTCTTCTCGTAGAGATGATAAGATAGCCTTCGACTGGGCACCGGTGGTCACATCATCGACGAACTTCACTCGATTGCAGCCGCTCTTCCATAACGTATTCCAACGCATATTCACTGCGCTGTAGGCTTCTTTGACTTGGCACTTGTCGTCTTCTGGTGAAGTTGTGGTACGAGCACGCTCATCAAGCCTCTTCAGGACATCAGCTAGGGCCTTGGCAGTAGGACTCGGACCGTACAACTTCTCCACCGGTAGACCTTGAAGCTCTTCTTCGTTGACCACGTTGTCGACCAGAACATTCCATATAGGTGTATCTGCAGTGTCGGCACCGTTTGAGAGCTCGCTAGCCGACCGTTCGTTAGCAAGCTCTATTAGGATACCCGTTGTTGTCTGCAACGCTGAAGCAGAGGAGCTCGAACCCATAGGGAGACCCCTGAAGTGGTAATGCTGTAGCGTAGCCGACCCATCCTCGTCCATCTCGTAGATCATGAAACCATGAGCTTTCCTCGTAGCCTTTGGGGTTCTGTCGAAGAGGTAGGCATTCTTCAAGTCGCTCCATGCTACCCATGGGTAGAGACGAGTTGTTGATAGACTAGGCCACGTAGTCGTATCTTGTGGGGGTGGTAGTCTCTGGAGCGGGTTGCATCTCCTCCAATCATACACCGGTCGAATACGAGTAGATCTGTTGCTCCCAGGCTTCTCGACTGGAAAGTGAGGGGTATAGTGGAAGCAGCTTACCTCTGCTGGCAGAATCTTCTCGATATGGCCCAGCTTGTGGTATTGATGAATAACATCGGTGTAGGCCTCTTGAATCTTCTTCTTCGTGAGACTGGCGAAGAGCTTCCGAGCATGTCTCTCTGCTGCAGCTTTGTTGTTCTCGGACGGAGCTGGCCTGGTTGTCCAGTTGAAGTCGTGTAGAGCTCGATATGTGATGTTGTCCTCATCGGAGTTCTCTGACTCTACCATCAAGCCACGAAATGTACCCAATGGATGTTCCAGAGCTTGTTCCAATGATAGACCTTCTCCTTTGGTGAGAGATTTGGTGATAGATCTAACTGACAATGAAGGATGAACTTGCACTGACACCTGTGCTGGTATGAGCAAATCCTGTGTGTAGTCGTCTGTGGGACTCTCCTTTATCTCAATGTAGTTGACCGAGTCGAAGAGGCAGGTCAGATCGTCGTTGCTGTGAGAGTTGACTCTGTTGTGTGGATGGCGAGAACAAACATTGATGGCCTCGGCCTCACCGACTTCGGCAACGTATTTGCTCACGACATGACCATCTTCTGTCTCTTCTTGATCGGGAGCCGCCAAGGCAGAGTATCCTTGGATGCCATCCGGGCCGAATATCAGTCCTACACGTAACAGACGTAGACCACTGACACCAATGATGAGCTGTGGGATGAGATTTTCTACAACGTAGACTTTGATCTTGACCTTGTACTTACTACACTCTCGTCGTTGTTGCTGTTGCGGCCAAATTGCCAAGTTGCACGTACCACTGACGTTGAGACTGTTTCCCACCGGACCGACAGCGTTGACACCAGCACCCTCGTTCCAGGATATCTCGACGCCCTTTTGGGTAGCCAACCACCTCAGATATCGTGCTTGTCCGTAGCATCTACCAGCACCAGAGTCCAGAATGGCATCGGCTAATAGATGGGGCGACACACACACTTTAGTCGCTACCGGTTGGGAACCGTTCTCCATGAAGTGGTCGGCACCTTTGTCATAGTAATCACCGATCGCAAAGCATCCCTCGGTACCAAAAGTAGTGCTGATCACTTGTTGTGGCTGAGGTAGGGTAGGAAAGGTCGATGGCCCCATTGGTGGTGTTGGCCCGTTGCCAGTCGGGATACTCCCGCCTGAGAGAGTAACAAAATGGGCGACTGGTGGCTTACAGTTGTTGGTCTCTTGCAACTGCTCTAAGGTCAATGGGCACATGCCAGACCTATGTGGTGGGCCCGCTCTGGTGTCATTATTGCACCTTGTACAGATGATCTTCTTGCTCGGTACTGGGCACTGCTCCTTTTTGTGGCGTCCACTGCCACAGAAACACCTTGACTCCTGGTTCTTGGGTTTTGTGGCCGTACAGGTATCCTCCTTGTGACTACCAGTACGATCATAACATCTCAGACAGATAGGTTTCTTCTTCTGTTCTTGTCCATGTTGGTCTTGTGCGGTTTTCACCGGAGCTTTTGCTCGATCGTCAGACCTAGGGAAGATTTGCTGCTGACCAGACTGAGGCTGATTCGACGGCTCTGATGTAGTTTGTGGTAGTAGTGGAATATGACGACTGTTGTTGTTGTCGGCATAGAAGACTTGACCTTGAGGCGTATGACCAACATAGTGACCATCACCGTTGTAGCCATACGAACGTCGTTGTTTCAGTGCATGGGCCTTCTTTTGTAGACTGCGCATAACCGTGCGAATATCCTCATATGTAGTAACCTG